CTGGTCCCAGGAACCTCGACCCTTTCTCCAAGGCTGGTCGTCCGGCTGCGTCCCCTTCCTTCCCTGGGTGTCCCCGTCTGCTTTCCTGTTGGGGGCGTAGGGGGTACCTGGCAGGGGAAAGAACCAGGATCGTCCGACTGTGCGGCGGGGGGAGGTCTGGGAGGTCTGGCTTCGGGCAAGGCTGCTCGGCCGAGGCGCCTCCCATCCCTGCCCAAGACCAGGCTGCTGGGCGGTCGGCCCAGCTCTACGGGGCTGTCACCGGACAGGTGAAGGCAATTCTAGGCAGGTAAATAGAAAAGAAGAAGAAGTGCAGAGGGGGAGCACCTGGATTGGTCTCACAGGCCCCACTTGGGGAAAGCCACCCTTCAGGAAATGCCCCAGAGGCCAGGGAGTGGGTTGGGGGCTCCTAGAAGGGACCGAGGCTCATCAGAGCGGAGCTGGTTGTGGGGGGGGGGCGGACAGAGGGATGTCAGAAGCTCCCCCTCAGGATTCTTTGAAAGTGAGGATGGGCCTGGCCTGCCGCTGGCTGGGTACAGGTGGAGCACGTGCCTCTTGACCTTGGGGTGTGAGTTCAAGCCCCATGTTGGGTGTGCAGATCACTTAGAAAAAAAAAAGAAAGACAAGTGGGGACAGGGAAGTGGGCTGAGGCTTGAGTCCCGTTAACGGGACGCTCACTGAGAATTCTCTGGAGCCCGCAGGAAGGGCAGGCGGGGCAGGCAGGGGAGGGGGCCTGAGCCTCCTCGGGCTTCCCAAACCTGCAGCTGAGTGGGAGTCACCTGGGGACCTTGTGAACACTCAGATTCCGCTTGGAAGGTACGGAATACCGCGCGTGATTCGGCGTTTCTAACGAGCCCCTGGGGGCCTGCTGCTCCCACGACCCTGCTTTCAGGAGCCAGGGTCTCTGCCATCTGAGTCTGGAGGTCACCGGGCGGATCGCTCCAGCTCCAGTTCAAATTCAAGGTTGTGTGCAGGTTCCCAGGGAGGGAAAGCCTGTAAGGAGGAGTTTATGGGACGAGGAGAGACAGGGGTCTCCGATTTAGGGGCTCCTCACCGCCTCCCGGGTGCCCTGGGGGCTGGTCTTCGCCCGAGTGGGGGAGCAATAGTTGGGGAGATCTGGTGGTGGTCGCGGAGATCTGGTGATGGTCACAGAGATCTGATGTTGGTCATGGAGATCTGGCGATAGCCGTGGAGATGTGACGATGGTCACAGAGATCTGGTGGTAGTCGTGGAGATCTGGTGATGGTCGGGGAGATCTGGCGATGGTCACGGAGATCTGGTGGTAGTTGTGGAGATCTGGTGGTAGTCGTGGAGATCTGGTGTTGGTCATGGAGATCTGGTGATGGTCACGGAGATCTGGCGAGTTGGAAGATGCTAGCAGGAGAGGCCCTGCAGGCCCAGAGCGGCCTCTACACTCCCCACCGGCAGCTGTTCACGCGCTACCTGGAGGCTGCCATCGGGAAGTTTCGGAAGGAGAGACGGGTTCACCCCACGGAAGCACCTGCCGAGGCAGGTGACCCACCTGAGGGGCGGCTGATGGCAGCAGAGGCGGGCTGCTGTGAGCGCTTCCGGGGGGAGGCGAGGGCCGCGCTGCCCCTGCCGAGAGCGGCCTTCCGGGGACTGTGCAGTGGCTGGAGCATCCCCGTGCAGCAAGGACCTGCTTTCCAAGATCCTTGTTATTTCAGATGTGCTCCTCTTACATTTGGATCGACGTTTGTCTATTATTTTTACGGACATATACTTTTTATTGGAGTTCGATTTGCAACATGTGACACCCAGTGCTCATCCCGTCCAGCGCCCCCCTCGGTGCCGTCACCCAGGCACCCCGTCCCCCGCCCACCTCCCCTTCCACTACCCTGTCCGTTTCCCAGAGTCAGGAGTCTCCCGTGTGGTCTGTCTCCGTCCCTGGTGTTCCCCACTCAGCTCCCCTCCTTTCCCCGCTGGTCCCTCCCACCAGTTCTTAGGGTCCCCGTATGGGTGAGGCCTCCTCCGACTGACCCACCTCACTCGGCATCCCCCCTCCAGTCCGTCCACGTGGAGGCACACGGTGGTATCCGTCCTTCCTGGCGTGGGTGGGGGTGATGGTCCCTCGGAGGGTAACTGCGACGTGTGTCATTTGAGCTCCGAGTTCCTCCTCCCGCCGGGGATGGACCAAGGCGCTTGGGGACCTCGGGCTTCCTGTGACCCGAGGGGTCCTCCTGCAGCCGCAGCGGGTGCAAGGATCCAACACTAAGGCCGAGGACAGTGAAGAGCTGTCCCGTGCGGGGGTGCTCTCTGGGGGACAAGGCTCTGGGGCAGCTATTTGTATGACCCCAGTTCCCCAAGAAGTGGGGACCCACAGTTGTCGTCGGGGTGCTAACAGGGTGTACTCTGTGCCCAGGCCTGTGTGAGCCCCGGTGCCCCTCCTGCAACAACCCCAGGAGGGAAATGCCCCTCCCATCCCCCTTCACGGTTGGGGGACCAGGTTGAGACGGATGAAGCACGGAGGCCCTAAGACCAAACTCCTCTTTGTCCCCGATCCCTCCTCCAAGTCACAGCAGCGGGTCCCATCTGCCCGTGACACCTGTGACACCTCTGAGCCACATCCCCACCCCCGCCCTTCTTGCCCCCAAGGCCCCGGCGTCCGGCCTGCTTGGGCCATTGGCCTTCAGCTGCCCCCCCATGCCACTCTCACCCCAGGACCTTATCCCCACATACAGCAGCCACCGTGGGCCTCTTAGTTTTATTTATTTATTTTTTAAAATGTTTTTATTTGAGCACAGTCGATGCAGCGTCACATTGGTGCAGGCCGACGGCAGAGCAGTTCGTGGGTCTCTGTAGATTGTGGGGGGCTCCCGGGAGCGGGGCTGCCTCCACCCAACCCGTGCTCCCGCTGCCACGGCCTCCAGCCCTGTGACTAGTGCATTCCACGACTGGAAGTCTCTATCTCCCCCAGCGTGGTCTTTTTAGTTTTAACTTTTTAAGATTTTATTTATTTATTCACAAGAGAGAGAGAGACAGAGAGAGACAGAGAGACAGAGAGAGGCAGAGACACAGGCAGAGACACAGGCAGAGAGAGAAGCAGGCTCCATGCGGGGAGCCTGATGCGGGACTCGATCCCGGGACCCCTGGGTCACGCCCTGGGCCGAAGGGAGGCGCTCTACCACTGAGCCCCCCAGGTATCCCAGATTGTCACCTGGGTGTCAGCAGGGAGGGGGGCCCTGGCCCTGGGTGTCAGCAGGGAGGAGGGGCCCTGGAACCCAGGTGTCAGCAGGGAGGGGGGCCCTGGTCCTGGCTGTCAGCAGGGAGGGGGGCCCTGGCCCCGAGTGTCAGCAGGGAGGGGGGGCCGTGGCCCATGTCAGTGGGGAGGGGACGGCTGTTCCTGCTGTACCCCGAGCTGGTCCCTGCCCTAGGGCCTTGGTCCTTGCCGTCCCCACCCAGCTTGTCCCTGCTGCTGCCCTGCCCTGCTCACCCCTGCCCTGATGTCAGGTCCCCAGGGAGTCTTCCTCAGTCCGCTGGGGTGAGCGGTGGGTCCCCGTGTCCGTCGCCCGGCTGCCTGCCCTCCCCCCGCCTCCCCTGCTCCCGGGCCCATGCTCTGCTGCTCGGCGGGCGGCCGGTGCACTGCGACCTCAGCTCCGTGAAGGCCGACACCTGGCGGGTGGGCCGGGGAGGCACCTGCCGCGGCTCCGGGGGGGAGGGCACCCAGTCTCAGGGCCCAGTCGCACCAAAGCTGTACTGGGAGAGGCGGCAGTGGAGCAAGGAGGGGGCATCCTGGGGAAATGCCTGGAAGGACAGAGATGAGTCAGTGGCTGCAGGGCCTGGGATTGGGGAACTGACCAAAGGTCCCTGGAGCAGCACTTGGGGGGGGGCACATGTGAGAGAAGGCTTCAGGGGGGGCTTTTGGAATTAAAAAAAAATGTAAAAAAAAAAGCTCCATTTTTAGAAAAAAAAAAAAGGATAAAAAAGGAAACCTGCAACCCTTGGGTGATGAACCCAAAGGCTAACCCATAACTCACCTTTCCCGGGGCAGCAACGGGTTAGGAGACGCTGCATGCAGGCTTCAGGCTGCGCTCTTTCGGGGGGCCGGGTCCCCCATGTCCCTGGGAGGCACCCAGAGCAGCGATGTCGGTGATGAGTCGTCCCCAACCCCTGTGTCATCTCCACCCGTGAGTTGGTCGGATCCACTGGACTGGACCTGGCTTCTGTGGACTTGGGTTCTTCCCCTGGAAGTGGGTCCTTGGAGCAGGTTCCAGAGGGCCCGACCCTAGCGCCCTGACCCTGCTTCCCTGGGAAAACGGGAGTCGAGAGCCCTCGTCGGCATTGGAACCGGCGGCTTCCTTGGCAAAGTTGTTTCTTCACAGTCAGAAGGGGGGGGTGTCCACGTGCCCCAAGGCGGCAGCAGGGCCCCTCCCGGGGCAGGAGTTGGGGTCACGCAGGTGCTCCTCAGAGTTGGACGGCTTCGGCCAAAGCACTTTACCCCTGTGACCCCCTTCATTTGTAAATCCATTTTTCCATAAAAATATTAAAAAGGGGGCGGCCTTGCGGGGCCCAGCGGTGGAGCACCTACCTGCCTTGGGCCCAGGCGGTGACCCCAGGTCCCGGGATCAAGTCCTGCCTCGGTCCCCTCTCTGTGTCTCTGGGTCTCGGCCTCCCTCTCTGTGTCTCTCATGAATAAGTAAATAAAATCTTTTTTTTTTTTAATTTTTATTTATTTATGATAGTCAGAGAGAGAGAGAGAGAGAGAGGCAGAGACACAGGCAGAGGGAGAAGCAGGCTCCATGCACCGGGAGCCCGACGTGGGATTCGATCCCGGGTCTCCAGGATCGCGCCCTGGGCCAAAGGCAGGAGCTAAACCGCTGCGCCACCCAGGGATCCCAAGTAAATAAAATCTTAAAAAAAAAAAAAAAGATTTCTTAACCAAAGGCAATTGGAGGCTCAATCTTCCCTTAGAATCCATTCTCTCAGACCCTGCCTCATCAGCTAAGTTTATATGATATTTTTTGAAAGATTTTATTTATTTGTGAAAGACACACACAGAGAGAGGCAGAGACACAGGCAGAGGGAGAAGCAGGCCCCACGCAGGGAGCCCGACGTGGGACTCGATCCCAGGACCCCGGGGTCACGCCCTGGGCTGAAGGCAGCGCTGAACCGCTGGGCCACCCGGGCTGCCCCAGGATCACCTTTTATACGGCTGCATAATATTCCATCGAAGAGGCCTGCCGCAGTTTGCTTATGTATCCATCATTGGTTTACGGGCATTTGGGGTTATTTCTGTTTTTGAGTGCAGCTATTCCACATAATGCTGCCGCGAACATCCACGTTATATTATTGTTTGTACGTTTGCTTCCAGTTCTCTTGGGCATATATCTAGGAGGAGACATGTTGGAGCTTATAGGAACTCTGCTGAAGGAACGGCCAAATTTTTTCCCCAAAAGCATAGGACAGCAACTTGTAAAAGAACTGTTTTTTATGACTATAAAGATGATGCATTATATAACCATTAGAGAGACTCTGAAAAGTCTAGTGAAGAGTCAGGACAAAATAAAAGTCCTTCCCACTTTATACTATTTATGGATAACAATTGTTGCCTTTGTGATCACTTTTTAATAGGCGCACGTACGCTCTGCATTATGCTATATATGGCTTTTGAAATTTGCTTTTCTTCACCTATAAAAGATAGGCATTTTTTGAGGTTTTTAAAAGATTTTATTTATTTATTTATTCATGAGAATAAATTCATTTAATTATTCATGAGAGACAGAGAGAGAGGCAGAGACACAGGCAGAGGGAGAAGCAGGTTCCATGTGGGGAGCCTGATGTGGGACTTGATCCCGGGACTCCAGGATTATGCCCGGAGTCGAAGGCAGCGCTAAACCGCTGAGCACCCAGGCTGCCCTATTTTTTGAGTTGTTAAATGGGCTTCTGAAACATGACTTACAAATGGCTACATATTATCGTTTTGTATGGATGTACCAGGATTCACTTAACTCATGTCCTTTTGATGGATAATAACAGTATTTCCAATCCCCTCCATAGCTGTGCAACAAATAATCTCTATGTATAAATTGCAGTGTTTATGATTATTTTCCTAGGACAAATTCCTAGAAATTGAATTAAGTATATGTGATTTTTGAATGTTTTTATACAGACTGTCCTAAAAGGTTGTATCCATGTTGGTTTCCAGCTGCAAACAAGATGGCCTGTCTCCCTCGTTCCTGGCCTACTGGTCACGATAATGTTTTAAATCTCTGCAAATTTCAAGAACTAAAAAGGGCCGTATCAGTGTTTTGCTTGGTATTTCTTTGATTATCATTGAGAATGAATTTTTTTATGCTTATTGATCATTTGTATTTCCTTTTTTAATGCCCTGTTTCTCATGTGTTTGGCCTGTTTTTCTGTCTAGGTGTTTTGCCTTGTTATTCAGTTGGAAAAGTTTGTTCTAATGGCATGCCATTTTCTTTAACAATTTTTTCTCTTTTTCTTATACATTACAAAAGTAATAGATGCTCAATGTAAAAATATAAAAAGAATTATAATAATATAAAACATAAAGACTGAACATTTCCAAATTTTATCCTCTTCAAAAAATATGGCTTTTTTAAAAGATTAATTTTTAAAAATATTTAATTTATTTATTCATGAGACACACAGAGAGAGGCACAGACACAAGCAGAGGGAGAAGCAGACTCCATGCAGGGAGCCCGATATGGGACTCGATCCCAGGACCCTGGGGTCATGACCTGAGCCGAGCCCAAGGGAGAAGCTGAACTGCTGAGCCACCCAGAGGCCCCCAAATTGTTTTATTTTTAAAAGATTTTATTCATTATTAATCTGAATGAGAGATATGTGCACAAGCAGGAGGCGAGGCAGAGGGGCAGCAGACACCCCCCACCTCCAGCAGGGAGCCCTACTCGGGCTCGATCCCAGGATTCTGGGATCGTGACCTGAGCCGAAGGTGAAGGCAGGCATTTAACCCACTGAGCCACTCAGGTGACCCATCTTTTTATTAGCTGTGTCCTATCATGACTATATTGTGTTTTAAACAGAAACAGTTTTACATTTTTCTTGTTATATCACGAAGTCTTTTTCATGGTGTATTGCTTAACTTTTATGCATAAAAAGAAGGCTCTCAATTTTTTTATGGGGATTCTCTGAACCATTCAAGAAGTTATCCTCATCTTCAGAGACAAGCTATTCTGTGAAAGAATGAAGATTGTTGACATATCTTGTAAACTGGAGGGAGGAGTCTGAAAAATTGCTTTGCAAATGAAGGGGGGAAAGCGGTTATTTCGATCAAATGTATTAAAATCCCTATTTTCAGTGAATAGAACTCAGAGTACATTACCGTTTCGGCTCATCTCGACAGCTAATATCTAGAAGGTTGAAATGACTCAATAGTCTTTGAGAGAATTCTTACTTCCCTGAAAACATTCATAAAAAAAATTGATAAGCACCGGGTTAGGTGCTCGGATTGCAGTGGCGAGGAAATGTGGACACGCACGGGCACACAACACATACCGTCCCTGCTCTTACAGGGTTTACAGTCGCATGGAGACGACCTCTATAATCAAGTGATCATGTGGGTCAGTGCACGACAAGGGACTGCATAGTGTGCAATGCAAGGAGCGCAGGACAGGGTGAGAGGACTCAGGGGCCTCTGCCCTCCGCCTGGACCAGTTTGGAAAGCTAGCCTGGGATGTATCAGCTGTGCTGCACATGGATGTGGCGGGGGGCAGGGGGACGTGCAGGTGCACCAGGGAGAGGAGAGCGCGGGGCAGGAACCCTGAAGCCAGCCGGAGCCCAGGCCTGGTGGCACAGCAGTGGCCCAAGCACCCCCAGGGAGGAAGGGCTGTGGGGAGCCAGATGTCAGCGCACCCCGTGGAGGTGCTGCGAGGGACACAGCTTTCATCATCTGGAGACGGTGTGAGGGGCCCTGGCCGGCAGTGGAGCGCGCCCCTCACCTGCAGGGTGGGCAGTTCCAGGCCGCGCTGGGGGCAGAGAGTATTCAAAACCAGAATCTCCGAAAAATAAGCAAACAAAAAAAAACCCCATGGTCTGACGACAGGCTATCAGTTTGTGATCCCTGCCTCATGGGGACCGTGAGAATCACCCAAGGGTGACAGGTCCTAAGCACCTCAAAGGGCGCGCGGTCCAAGTACTCAGGCATGTGGAGGCCGGGTGACAGAGGACAGGCTGGCCGGTGTGCCTGGGCTGGCCAAAGGGAAGCCAAGGGCCAGCGTGACCTTGGCCAAAGCTCCAGGGAAAGAAGGCCTTCTCCGGAGGATGCAGGGAGTGGCGCTAGGAAATCAGGAGCCCGAGGAACCCACACAGTGACCTCCACAAGAATGCACAACCTGTGCTGACACTGTGTAACCGGCCCGTGGGCTTGGTTCCCGGGAGCAGGTGTGGCGGGGTGGGACCCGCACGGGCCCTGCAGACCTGGCCTCACGGGAGCGCCACCCAGCAGGGTGGGATAAACACGGTCACCAGAACACAGGCACTTTTGGGACAAGGCATTTATTACCACGTGCTCGGACGTCAGAGAGACTTGAGCTCCCTTCAAACACCATGAAGCAGGGGCGCCTGGGGGGCTCAGGCCATGACCCCAGGGTCCCGGGATCGAGTCCCGCCTTGGGCTCCCTGCATGGAGCCTGCTTCTCCCTCGGCCTGTGTCTCTGCTTCTCTCTGTCTCATGGACAAATAAATAACATTTTTAAAACAAAACAAAACCTGCAGGAAGCACATATTCCTTGTGCAATGCTGTGAAGACGGGTACCTGATAAATCCAGATCATCGGAACCAAAGCTCTAGGAAATGTGCTGCTGCCTCCACCTAACGTGAAGTGTGTTGAAGGTACAGGAATCCACCTGCTGAAGACTCCAGAACCCTCACCCCTGCTGCATCTCCATCTGGGGAAGAAATATTGCTAAAAATACCCCATAGAACAGGATGAAAGTCCTCTTCTAAATTGAAATCATACAACTCTATCATCAAAACGGACATTTTTCAAGATAAAAATGGAGCACATAAGGATTGATGAACTCAACAGAAAGATCCCAGAATAAACAGTCTCTACAAATTTAATTTCTCTGAAACAACTGTAAATACACAATATCTATTACTTTACCTGAATTAAAAACCCTCAAAGTCCACACAGAGCCACTCTTCATCAAGAATAAAGTTCTACATGTATGGGAATTAAATCCCCCCAAAATTTAGTTAACACAATTGAACGTAATTAATCATTGTTAAAATATCAAAACAGAGGAGTACATTTCGGAATATATACATGCAGCAATTTTTAAAGCTCTAGTAAGGCACACTCTAAAATGTAGCCAACAGTGTATTAATAATTAGGCATACAATGTAGTTAAGATTAAAATATATATATATATATGATTGACATATAAATCTACATACATAAATACATATAATTTTCTCTTATTGGATTTTAGGAAAAAACACATATCATAATTAATTCTCTCTATATTGTACTTTACTTACAAATCAAGAACTTAATGAACAATTATGTGGTATTAAAGGGTTCAGTAAGACTTACCCATATATGCTGTACTTTTGTACACATTATTGCATTTAAAAAAATCTGTGATTTTCAACAACAAACCTCAGAGGTATCAAAATAAAGGAAATAAAAAAATAAAAAAAATAAAAAAAACAAAATAAAGGAAATTTCTTCTCCCTTAAATCTTAGATCCTATAATCCGATCAACCTTTCTAAAGTTCTGCTTTCCTCTTATCAGTGCCACCTAAATAATTATTCAGTGGCTTCCGTTTCATTACAGGATGACGTTCAACTCTTTATTGTGACGTCCCACACATTACGTGCTTTGGCCTCAAACTTTAATTTCAAGCCAGGCCACGCTGTTCACCAACTCCACGTCAGTGAAGCTCATTCCAACCCTGAGCTGTGTTCCTCACTTCCAGGGCTCCTCTTTCTCATCTTCAAATCCTTCGGTCTTTATTTCTTATTTATTTACTTATTTTTAAGTAGGTTTCACCACACCCAATATAGGGCTTGAACTCATAACCTTGAGATCGAGAGTCCCAGGCTCTACAGGCTGGGCCAGCCGCGTGCCTGGAACCCTATTACCTTTAAATGTTGCATTTCCCACTTCCCCTGTGAGAACTTCCCTGATGTTTCTGTCGCCTCCCTGCAGGCCTGCCTTGAGCCTTGAACAGGCCCCGCCACGTGCTGTTACAGGTCTACCTCCTGTGTTTAAGGCTGGTCTCGTCAACCCCACGGGAAACCCCTTGATTAGGGCCCTCGGCGCCCACCGCAATCCTGGGGAGACAATTATAAGCACGTGCCACCATCATCTTAATTGCCTCTGACGTTTCGCTTTATTCTCAACAATTTTTCTTTCCAACTACAGAAACAGCACAACTAAAGGCCGAGTTTACAGTTGCTGTAGCGTCTCTCATTCTCTTCAGAAGCCAACTGATTTTTGCTATTTGCTCCATTTGATGCGTGAACTTCCCTGTGCAACTAAACTATATGGAATCTGGGATTTTCTTTAAACCAGGGGGCTAATACCTTCAATCTCATCAGGCCTTAGGTAAGTTTCTATCTTTAGTGATGATTGTAGATTTGCAGACAGACTTTTTTTCCCCTTCTTAATGGAATATTTTGGATATTCAATCGTTATCTCTGAAATTATAGAGGCTTAGAAAAAAAAAAAAAGAAACCTGCAAAGTTTTCCTTTCTTTGAGTGTGATTTTTTTCCCCCTTTTTCTCTCTCTTCCCTAAGAACAGGGAAGGGAGGTATAGAGCGGTAGGATATAAGCTTTTCAAAAGGTCACCTCGGCTGGGTATAGAAAAGCATAAATTACGGTCCTCGCCTCCTCTGCTGCATGGGCAGTTTGAGCCTGTCACGCTTGGGCAGCAGGTGCACAAAGCCGGGGCAGCAGCAAGCCCAGCGGCACGGCTCTCTTCTTCCACGTAACCATAGACGTGGTTTCTTAATCGCTACATGTCGGGTGCAGTGCTGGTTCTGGTTGTTTATGTATCAGCTCATTATCATCATTCAGCAAATCACGATTCCCATTTCTGGAACAAAACACTGCGGCTTAGGGATGTTAGGTGACTTCTAGTAACAACTAGCAGGTGGCCTGGCCAGAGTCTGGGTGCGGAACGGATTCCACGGCCTCTGCTGCTTTCACTGCACCTCGCCCCCTCCGGGCCTGGCATTGCCAGGAACTCTGTCTCGGGAATGTTGGGGCTCGCGCTGCGACCTTGGCAGCTGCTGGGACAGCCGGGGCGACCAGGTTGCTGGGGAGTGGTGTCCTGCCCACCACTGCCGTGGTCCCAGCCTGCGGGGCTCCCCGTCCGGTGACAGGGTTGGCTCGGCCCGTCTGTCCCGGGACATCTGACCGCGTGTCGCCCTCGGTGGCAGGAGAGCTGCCGGGCTTTACCTCTGTCAGGGCTTGAGACAAGGGCACCGGGGGAAGTCCACACGGTAAGAATAGACAGGATTTCACAGACGATCGAGAACTTCTCCCTGTAACAGCAGAGCCCAGAAGACAAACCGAAATAGGACCCTCTGGTCCTCTAGTTGGGCCCACAGAGGACTCCCAGTGGTCAGCTGGTAGTATCCTTATGCGAAGAGCCGTCAATAGAAGGAAACTGCAGTGTGACGACAATTGCGACCGTCCCTGTGTTACCTCGGGTGGGATCTAGTCACCGTGTCGTCTTCCAGGAAGGACGTGGCTGTGCATGTACATCGGAATCTGGGAGTTACTCTCAGTCCAGGCCCATGGTGTGAGGACAGAGGCCACTCTTCCTTCCCCAGTTCCGGCCGCCCCGGGTTCACTGCACAGCATTCCCTTAGGAATTCAACACCGGAAAGACTTCTGTGCTCATGCACCCAGTGTTGCTTCCAGGTGGGCACAAGTTCATGAGCAAGTATTTGGCACCGGACAGGTCTAGCTATGTAAGCAGGCATCATACGATCACAGTAAAGGACACTTTGTGAGCCAATGACCTTTCACTCTTGTGTCATTTTAATAGTTGGCCTTTAAAGTGCTTTTATAAATCAGATTTTTTTGGTGTGTTAAAAAAAAAAAAAAAGAAAAGAAAGAAAGAAAAGAAAGAAAAGCGACCCTAGGAGGAGACTGGGGTGCAGCTCTCAATGGCATTGACAGTTATGATGCTGCAGGAGGACCTGGAGGTGGACTGGAACTTTTGTTGGAGTCTCGGCCCTGCCTCTGGGTTTTCACCTTGGAGCCACGGCTTCACCCGTTCACTCATCTACAGGGTGAGAACCGTAGTTCCCACCCCGGGGTGTTCTCACGGAGGCTGCGGCAGGCGGGACGTTGTGCTGGGGGAAGCTGGGCGAAAGGGCCGGCGGGGAACTGGCCTCTCGCGGGGGTGGGGTGGGGTGGGGGGGGTCTATGGACTCGGAGCTGAGGGTGAGCAGCCCTGGAGCTCCGCGGGCCTCACATACTCCCCGGGGGCCCTGGGGGGCCTGGGGGGCTCGACCCCGGGGCACACCTGGTGCTTCTGTCCTTGTTGCCCTTCCCCCAGACTACACCTCGGAGAAGCCCTTCCTTCGCCTTCGCGTCCTTCTCGGAACCAAACAGATGGTCCCCGCGGCCCTCGGGTCACCGCCCTCCAGGCTCCGCGCGCCCCCGGAGCGACCTCGGGCCGCGGGGCCAGAAGGATCCGCCCCCCCCCCCCCCCCGGGCCGTGGGCGCAGGGGTGCTCGCCGGCCTTCCCGTCCGCAGAGATGCACGTGAAGCGGTGTGAAGGGTTGGGCTTTTTTTTTTGTTCCTGAAAATGCAACGAACAAAAAAAAAAGTACAACAATCCAAACCCAACCGTCTCGTGGCGCCAGCTCGCCGGCCGGTGGCTCCGCAGGGAGGGCGCCCGCGCCCCGGCAGGCCCAGCCGCCTCGCCCGCCTTCCTCGCCGGCGCCGGGCTCAGCTGGCTCTGGGCACCGCGGGGGGCACCGGGCTGGGCGCACCGGGCTCCGCGCCGAGGTCACCGGGCTGGGGGCACCGGGCTCGGCTGGCTCTGGGCACCGCGGGGGGGCCCCGGGCTCGGCCCCGCGCAGCCCCTCCGCCAGGAGAGAAGCAGCAGCCCCGCCCCCCCCCCCCCCGGAGGGAACACAGGAGAGGCCGGCGGGAGACCCACGGGGTGCGGGCGCAGGGCGAGGCGGGCGCAGGGGCGGGGCGGGCGCAGCGCAGGGAGCAGGGCGAGGCGAGGCGGGCGCAGCGCAGGGAGCAGGGCGAGGCGGGGCGGGCGCAGCGCAGGGAGCAGGGCGAGGCGAGGCGGGCGCAGCGCAGAGGCGGGGCGGGAGCGGGGCGGGCGCAGCGCAGGGGCGGGGCGGGAGCGGGGCGGGCGCAGGGACCAGGCGGGCGCAGGGGCGGGGCGGGGCGGGCGGCGGGTCCATCTTGCAGCGGCGCGCGGCGGGGAGCGCGGTGGCCGCGGCGGCGGAGGCGGCTCCCGGCGGCGGGTCCCGCGGGCCCGAGGCGGAGGTCGGGGGCGGGGGGGGGCGGGGGTCAGTGCCGCGGGGGGGGTGGGGCTGCGCCGCGGGGCCGCGCGGAGAGCGGGGGGCACCGGGCTGGGGGCCCTGCGCCTGCTCCCCGCGGACCGCCTCGGCGCGGCCCAAGCCGGAGCCCGCGGCCGCCTGGGCGGGGAGGGCGCGGGGTGCGGGGGGGAGGGCGCCCGGGCCCCGGCCCCGGCCCCCCCCAGGCCCTGGCGGGCCGCCGCGATGGGCGGCGGGCGGCCGAGCGCCGAGTGTCCTCTTTGTTCTTCCTTTGCAGTAGCGTCGCCGGATTGTCCTCGGCGCGCGAGAGGAAGACCCCACACCCCACAGACCCGACTGCTGCGCCCCGGGGCCCGGGGCCCGGAGCCCGACCACACACCTGCTCGCAGGGCGCGGAGGTAAGCGCTATTCTCTCTACGTTAAGAAACAACAAAAAAACGACCACGCAGTTCTCTTTAGGCCCTGAACCACGCAAAATTGATCTACGTGTACGACGCAGTGTGTTCCCATCCTCACGGGTGGACTCTCTTCTTCTCCTATTTTGCCAAAACTCAGAAAAGATAGATTCAGTAGAGCTGGAAAATCTTTATGTAGCAGTTACTCGACATGCATTACAATCCACGGATTTCTACTGGAAAGAAAGAGAAGACTTAGTAGCATTTCTTTTTTTTTTTTAAGGTTTTTTTTTTTTTTTCTTTTTTCTCCTTCTCCCATACCATGCTGCTAGGACTTGTAAAAACAGGGAGTTTTCGAATTCTAGAGACTTTTATACAAATACGTATTCTGAAAGCACAATTTTATTTACATAGCCACTCCTGGGAGAACCTGGTGGAGCTGTTGATTTACTGGTTATACTTCTTACACAATGGGAAGGTACATTTCTTCAGGCTCTCCTTTTCTTAAAAAAACAAACAAACAAACAAACAAACAAACAAACAAAAAACCCATCTTTTTTTGCACTAGCTGAGCTACTAGGCCTCCCCGTAAGTCCTCCCATAACACCAGGTTATTCTTTCCATTCTGTACATCTATGACAGGTTGGTTGCCTGGTCTTACTTGGGCCACAGCTTTTGTTCAGATATGCCCATTTCCATGAATGTGCTTTGTACCTGCTAGCCTATGTAATGCTTTTTTTTTTTTTAATTTTTTTTTTACCTTTTCATGAAATTGTAGTTCAAGAGAATCAGGCTCTCTTTCAGGACCTTTCTTGGTTAATGTACCCAGGCTCTGACATAAAAATGTCTATTTACATTTTGTGTATTTGTATACATTGTAATTTAAACCACCTTATATTTATATAGTTTAGCAGTTTACAAAACTGACACAAATTACTTAATCTTCCCCAAAGCATGATGAAGTACATAATGTAAAAAATCCTTATTCCATGAAGGGTAAAACTCCTGTTGGAACTTAGGTAGTCAGAGACAGGGTCAGCGCTGTTTCCTCTGCTAGGGAGCCTGTTACAGCCCAAGTTGTAAAAAAAAACTTGAAATTTTAGAAGGGATTCATAGATCCATGATTAAACGTCTCCATTTTATGAATGAGAACACAGAATTTTTGACCCACTTTCTAGAGAGTGCTAAAAGTCTAAGAATTGGGAAGCTCAGGTCCTATGGCTAGCTCACTGTGTATAACTGGGAAAGTTCCATTTTTGGAGTGGGGGGGGGGCTCAGCTTTTTCACTTATGAAAAATGTTTTCCAGATCATCTCTTCCGTTTTATTCCTACCTCATGACTTTTGTTACCATATGCTCCCTACATATTGGTAATCCTAAACACCTACTAATTTTAACTGCCTTAAACTTTTATATTTTAAATTTTGGGTAGGTATGATAAAAATGTATGCCTTATCTTTGTTTTTTTCACTCAACTATAAAAGTACTGTTCTAAGATTAGGATCTGCATGGAGAAGGGGGGCACTCATACATCATTGGTTAACGTTCATAAATTGCTATATGCCTTCTAGAGGGAAGCCTGGTAATCTTTCAGGGTCCTTAAAAGTGTTTCTACTCTTTGACACACCTAACAGTACACTTAGAGGAGTCTAAGTGTAATAGGAAATAATCAGAGCTGTGGACCAAGACTTTCCTACAAGGTGTTCATTTAAGTGTTATAATCCAAAAAGACATACAGCCAGTAAGAGCATATCCGTAAGATGGACTATCACATTTTAGAAGAATATATAATGATAGGGGAGATACATGTGATCAAACAAGTGAAAAATGGTGGTTACAAAATTGTGTGATGCTACCAGTTTTGTTAGAATATGTATGTGCATTCACACACAAGATTGGAAGAAATGAAACAAAATAATGTTATTCCTTGCTGATGTGATTATTGGTGATTTTTCCCCTGTATTTTCTGGATTTACTGTACTCAGAAGTTACTTTTATAGTTTATATATATTTTTTTTAACTTTTATTTATTTATGATAGTCACAGAGAAAGAGAGAGAGGCAGAGACACAGGCAGAGGGAGAAGCAGGCTCCATGCACCGGGAGCCCGACGTGGGATTCGATCCCGGGTCTCCAGGATTGCGCCCTGGGCCAAAGGCAGGCGCCAAACCGCTGCGCCACCCAGGGATCCCATACTTTTATAGTTTAAGAAAAACATAAAAGCTAGTTGCTTGGATACCCTAACTTCATTATGGTGCCAACTTTCTATGTCCTTTTTATGGCATTTGTCATACCTTTCAGAGCAACAGTATCTTAGTAAATGTGCTGTATTTCTGAATTTAGGGCAGGAATTGATTTTTTGGCCTATAGTTCATCTTTTTAAATATCACTAGGTCACTGGATTATTCATTCTTGTTATTCACTAAAGACACTGCCATCTTAATTACTTTGGCCTGGAACCCTGGATAGTAGAATGGTACTAGATGAATAGAGTTCTATGCCCACTTCTCATAACAGTTAACCAAATACAGGCATCCTCTGACATACAGAATAGTTACATTCCCATTAAGCTTTCTAAGAAGCAAATTCCGATAAGGAAAATCATTTCCATTATAGATGTAGACATATTACTACAGAGAAGTTGACATGAGCATTTTTGTTGATTGTATAAATTATTGTCTTTCCTGTGGCATTAGTGCCAGAAGTAAATCCTACTTGGCAGTAGCCTGGCACCCCATTATAACTCCCAGAGGGGCTTTTTTTTTTTTTTTTTACCCCCTGCATTTTTGTGCTATCGAATATGAGCAAGGAGTGCCAACACAGTAGATGTAATATAGCCAACCTAAAAGTTGCTTGAAGTTTAGCATAAACAGCTTTCTACTTGATATATTCTGTAGATCAGGTTTACTTTAGCATAAGATGTATACATACTTCGACGTTGAGCAAAAGGGACTTTGTTTATACTGATTGCATTTCCAATAGTCATCTTAGACTAAGTTCTTACTAGCTGATATGTAGTGCTTATCAAATGCCTGCTTCCCCTTCTACAGTGTCATATACCACGTATAAGTAGCCTCACTTATCTAGATAAATCCAGCTAGCTACCTGCTGAATGCCAGACTTTGATAATACTTTCTGAAAGCTGGCATTAACCTGAAATACAGATTTAGATTGTGATGGAAATAGATACCAACTGATAGTGATTGCCAAATTTATGGTTGTGTAAGAGGACAAGTCGTTTTAGGGGTAAAAATTTTCCATCTTCATTTAAGCCCACTTATATTTATTTGGGAGAAAAGAGACCAGACATTTCTGGTTTGACCTTTCCAGAAGTCATTAGTTCCAACTTAATTGGAACTCTTTAACAGGTAAAGATAAATAGCTAATCTGTTTAGGATTGGAGTAGGAGAAAATTTAGTCTATATGTATGTTTTCCTTAAATTCAGACTCATTCAAATTTATTTCATCTAGATGGGAGAGAATAGGCTTAAATACTGTTTGGAAATCACATAGACTTCTGTGGGGTTTTTTTCTTGTTAAATTAAAAAAATTTTTTTCAAAAGTAATGTCTACATCCAGCATGGGACTTGAACTCGTGACTCCGAGATCAAGAGTTGCGTGCTCTTCCAAGTGAGCCAGCCAGGCATGCTCCCACAGATCTCTCGATAGTTGTACAGAAGTGTCGTAGGGGGATATCTGATCCAGCTGTATCCTAAAACCCTACTGACATAATGCTCTGGGTTTACAGGATTACAGAATAATAGCGAGGGTAATTATCAAGAGACACAAGGAGAAGATAAAAGGGAAAGAAAGATAAGTAAGGTGAAGAGGCAGGTAGAGGATAAGGAAAGAATAGGAGGAAATCAAAAGATTGTACACCTTGACACAGGAGGATGAGTTACGAGAATAAACAAAGGAAAGAGTTTAGGCAAAATAGTGGTTCAGAGAAGAGAATGAAGGAAAGGGAAAAAACCTGTTTTTTTTTTTTTTTTTTTTTTTAATGGTTTGGTAACTAGTAAGGGTAATGACCTGGTTTTTATGTTTCTGAGAATGTTATTATAGTCCAAAACCTCTGTGAACTCGCTGAATAGGTGGGTCTTCCAAGCCGATGGACCTTTTGTTCTAGGGTTATTTTGCCCTACTTATCAGGAATCCTACTAGAAATATCCTGGGGGATATCTTAACTACTAATTCTAGAATAATGCCAGAAAAGGGAAGTTTCTTATTGTCTTATATGGATACATAGGTAACTTTTATATTGTTTGCAGGAGCCACATAACAATTAGATAAGCTCTTTTAAGTACTATATATATCTTCAGTATTCCCTTTGAGATTCTTAAACTCACTTTATCCTGTTTTGATCACGTAAGTTATGGAACCGACTCTAAAAGCCAGAATAAAGTATAACAACACATTGATATGGAATACTTAAAACAAATATTTTGTAAATAATTTTCATATATTATAATTTTCAAAAACACTTGTAACAGTGAGGAGATAAACTGCAATATGTATAAGTGGCTTGTCAAAGGCCGCTAAGAACCAGACAAGTATGTCCGCCTCCTCGCAGGCCTGGATCCAAAGATTCTCAGTAATATATTTATTTTATAAAAGATAAAACAGTACTAAGCAGATCAAGCTCCTGTAAAGCTTATCATACTTAGCTAATGCTTCTCAAGTTTTGCTTTTTAAGCTAAATATGGTTTTCTTATAATTAGTCCCTTTTAGTTTTTTATTTTGTGAAAATTTTCAAATATACAGAAAATCTGAAAAAATACTTTAATAAATATCCTTACATCCTCTACCCGGATTCAGTAACTACACCCTAAGTTGTTTTTTTTTTTTTTTAAAGATTTTTATTCATTTATTCATGAGAGACAGAGAGAAGAGACACGGGGGGGGGGGGGCAGAGACATGGGCAGAGGGAGAAGCAGGCTCCCTACCGGGAGCCCAATGAGGGACTCGATCCCAGGACCGGGATCATGCCCTGAACTGAAGGCAGACG